ATATTAAATTTGTTTATGTAAAGGAATACATTTATACTATTCTCTTGTATACTATTTTATCATTATTCAAACTCATAGTTACCCAACTGACTTTGACATTAGGATATAATGATACTCTGGACACAGTAGAGGTCTGAACACTGCTTCAAAGACAGCGAAGAGAATGATTTTGTTTCAGTGATAAGGCCAGGAGAAAAAGAAGAGTCACTGGTGTCCTGTCTCAGCCAAGGAAAGACCCAGAAGATCAAAGCTCCTTTAGATCCACCTCAGTGTTCAGCATTCTTCTAGGAAAGACCTCAAGACTTAATTTAGTTAATAACCTTCTGATTCTGTCACAGAAAAGTTCAGTGAGGGCACGCATCCTCCAGACTACAGAGCTTCACCCTCCTGCTTGGGCCTTCAGCTCTTCTCAATTAAGATCAAGGCCCTTGCACGAGTTACATACGTGCTCTAAGGTATCAATATCCACATTACAGATGAGGTAATGTAAATGTCGATATTAATGAGTACTTTGCAAGGTTGCTTGGAAGATAAAATGCGATAATGTATGTGAAGCATTTGGTACAGCACCTGGCATATAAAAAGTACTTAAGTATAGCATTAAGTATTGTATTATTTAACTAATAATTAAAGCTGTTAATGTTTTAATACCCATAATAAGTTTGATTCATGGAAAATCTCCATTTCCAGCAAACAGTCAAACATTATTGTGGTGACATTTTTCCTCTACAGATAAGATAAAGCCAGACAACTTGGCATGTGGCATATGTTCTAAAATTGTATAAGCTACCAAAGGCAATGGAAAAGCAGATGAGAACATTTTAAAAATTAAAATGTCTTTTGATTGCTTTGCCTTATGTCCTGTGTTGAAGAGAGGAACTGTCAGAATTAGTATCTTTATAAATGATGGATTTTGTACAGCACAAAAAAGGCATGACAAAGTATATTTCAAATTTTGTTTTGAGAGCACCAATTCCCATATATCTTTGAAATTAAATTTCCCTCATGGTTCATCTTTATACCATTTACCTTGTTCTAAGAGGAAAATGTAAGTAAGAAAAGGAAGTTTATCAGGTGGGCACAGTGGCTCACACCTGTAATCCCAGCACTTTGGGAGGCAGAGGCAGGTGGATCACCTGAGGTCGGGAGTTCAAAACCAGCCTGACCAACATGGTGAAACTCCATCTCTACTACAAATACAAAAATTAGCCAGGCATGGTGGCATGCACCTAAAGTCTCAGCTATGCAGGAGGCTGAGGCAGGAGAATCACATGAACCTGGGTGGCAGAGGTTGCAGTGAGCTGAGTTAGCACCATTGCACTCCAGCTTGGGCAACAGGAGTGAAACTCCATCTCAAAAAAAAAAAAAAAAAAAAGGAAATTTCTCTTTTATCTTTTACAATTTCATTCAAATGTACACTGCAGATAAACATTAGAAATCACATAAACAAATTATTTTGCTAGTTTGATTTTTGTATACTGAATATTCTCCTTTTTGTCATTACTGCATGTATCCGAATGGCACTTGTATTTCTTTCTTCTGTTTTCATAAATACAATGAAAAGGCTAGTGTTTCTAACACAGTGTTTTGTTTCTGCTTATCTAATAATGCAACAACTAAGATTTCATTATAACATAATAAATGTTTGTAGAATGAATGAATGAAATGTCAGGTCTAATTCTCGGCTTTCTTTTTCATTAATATTAAATTTCCCATAGGTTTTCTCTGTCTACGTGGACCGCAGGCTGAAGAGACCACTGAATTTTTCTATTGTAGATTTGTGAATTATGTATAAAAAATGCATTGCACTTTACAGAACTTTGGCATTCAGTCACTTACACTGAGCAAGCTTCAGGTGAAAGAAGAAAAATGGTTTTACTTGGGTGTAATTACTAAATTTCTACTGTCATAATACAAGTCATTTTTTCCCCCAAGATAAATCTAAGCAATTATAGGAAACTGATCCAAAAAAAGATTCTTGCCCTTCAGATTAAAACATATAACTGGATGTCCACATGCTGTACTCTGTGATATACAGTATCAAGACATGATGGCAATAAATTAATCATACTGCTTATTTAGGAAACATCAATGATGATACTCAACATGATGACAATGATACACTAGTCTACCAAATGCTTGGGGATATCACACTAGCATTTCTAAAAGATGGTACAACATTTAGAAAAATTTAATTAATGCCACATAATAGCAAATATTTGCCTTATTCTTCTCTTGATTCCAATGACTTACATGGAGCACCACATCTACTCTGCACAACAAAATCTCTTTTAGGGTTTTCTGTAACAATATGTATGTATAGTAAAGTCCTGGAAAAGACAGTAAGAATTTGATTTCCACATATAAGTAAGATTATATGGTATCTATCTTTCTGTGCCTGACGTATTTCACTTAATATAATGTTCTCTACGTTCAACTATGTTGTCTCAAATGATAGAATTTCCTTTTTTTAAAAGGCTGAATAGTATTTTCCATTTTTTAATCCATTCATTGTCCATTGATGGGCACTTAGGTTAATTCCCCATTATGGCTCTTGTGAATAATGCTGCAATGAACATAGGAGTGCAGATATCTTTCCATCATGCTGATTTCATTTCCTTTGAATATATATTCAGCAGGGGGATTGCTGGATCATACAATAGTTAAAGGGTAAAATAAAATGAAGGGTGGGGAGATTGGGAAGATGTTAGCTGAAGGATGCAAAGTTTCAGTTGAACAGGAAGAAAAAATTCAATAGATCTATTGTATATTGAAGGTAAAATATTCAATAGTAATAAACTGTATACTTAAAGTTTGCTAAAAGAGATGTTAAGTGCTCATCACAAAAAAAAATAAGTTTGTGAAGTATCGCATATGTTAATTAACTTGATTTACCCATTCTACAATGTATACATATATCAAAAGATCATGTTGCAGCTTCAATAAGTGGTGTTGGGACTGCTGGATGTCCACATGCAGAAAAATGAAATTAGACCCTTATAGCATACCAATGGACAAAAGGCAACTCAAAATGAGTTAAAAACTTAAGTGTAAGGCCTGAAACTAAAACTTCTGGAAGAAAACATATGGTGAAAGCTTCATGACACTGCTCTGGGCAACACTTTTTTTGATATGACCCCAAAAGCATAGGCAACAAAAGTACAAACAGACAAACGGTTTAATGATTTAAAAAATCTCTGCACAGCAAAAAAGAAAAAAGAAAAAAAAATTCAACAGATTGAAGTGACAGTCTATGGAACAAGAGAAAATATTGGCAAGCCATACATCTGATAATCAATTAATGTCAAATAAATAAGATTCTCAAAGTACTCTATAGTAAGACTTAAAAATGGGCAAAAGTCTTGAACAAACATTTCTCAAATGACATACAAAGTATATGGCCAACAAGTATATATTTTTTTTAAAAAAGCTCAACGTCACTAATCATCAGAGAAATAAAAAAGATGAAAATAACAAGTCTTGGTGAGAATGTGGAGACAAGGAAATGTCTGCAAATTGTTGGTATTGCAAATTAGTAAGGCTATAATGAAAAACAGTATGAAAGTTCCTCAAAAAATTAAAAATAGCTGGGTGTGGTGGCTCATGCCTGTAATCCTAACACTTTGGGAGGCTGAGGTGGGAGGATCACCTGAGGTCAGGAGCTCAAGACCAGTCTGGCCAACATGGTGAAACCCTGTCTCTACTAAAAATGTAAAAATTATCCAGGTGTGGTGGCACATGCCGGTAATCCCAGCTACTCAAGAGGCTGAAGCAGGAAGATCACTTGAACCTTGGAGCCAGAAGTTGTAGCGAGCTGAAATTGTGCCATTAGGCAACAGAGCAAGACTGTGTCTCTCAAAAAAAAAAATAGAACCACCATATGATCCAGCAATCCCCCTACTGACTATATATCCAAAGGAAATGAAATCAGTATATTGAAGAGACATTTGCACTTCCATGTTCACTGCAGCACTATTCACAATAGCCATGATATGGAATCAACAAAGTGTCCATCAATGGATGATGACTGGATAAAGAAAATGTGGGCCAGGCACGGTGGCTCATGCCTGTAATCCCAGCACTTTGGGAGGCTGAGGTGGGTGGATCACGAGGTCAAGAGATGGAGACCATCCTGCCCAACAGGTGAAACCTGTATCTACTAAAAATACAAAACTTAGCTAGGCGTGGTGGTTTGTGCCTGTAGCCCCAGCTACTCAGGACACTGAGGCAGGAGAACCACTTGAAACTGGGAGGCAAAGGCTACAGTAAGCCAAGGTCACATCACTATACTCCAGCCTGGTGACAGTGAGACTCTGTAAAAAAAATTTTTTTTAATTAATTTTTTAAAAAATTGGTATCTATACACAATAGAGTACAATTCAGTCTTAGAAAGAAATCCTATCATTTACAATTACATAGATGTACCTGGAGAACATTATGTTAAGTGAAATAAGCCATACACAGAAAAAACAAATGCCACATGACCTCACTCATATATGGAATCTAAAAAGTTGAACTGAAAGAAATAGAGAGTAAATTGGTAGTTACTAGGGGCTCAGGAGATGTTGGTCTAAGACACAAAAGTTCATTAAGAGGAAAAACTTCAAGAAATCTATTGTACAACATGGTGAGTACAGTTAATAACAATCTATATTCTTGAAAATTGCTGAGACAATAGATTTTGTGTTCTCACCACAAAAAAATAAGCATGTGAAGTAATGCATATGTTAATTTACTCAGTTTAGCAATGGCATATTTCAAAATAAATTGTACATGATAAATAAATGCAATGTTTGTCAATTAAAAATACATTAAAATAAAATTACAAAATGAAGTTAAAAGTGGACTCCAGGAAAGGAGAGCTTCTACTAAATTAGCCTACTAAGCACAAAAAGATCATTTCCACAAGAACATAGATACAATATCCTTTGATTACTCATTGCCTCAATTCAAACTGCTTCTCTCTGTTGGTAACGTTGACTGGTAGAACCACCACTTACCCTTAGCTTGGGGGAAAAAAGACATTTCAGCAGCTTGTAGGTGTTATCAGCAGTTGTCTTCTGGTCTTTCCCAGTTAGGTGGGAAAGTGTGATTTAGTCCCTCCTATCCTGAGGTATCTCAGGTCAGCCCCCTGTATAACAGCTATTTTGGGTTCCTCCAATCATTGCTCTTTGAGCTCAGGAGAGTGTTCTGTAATGAGCACCAGGAGAGAAACTTGATGATATCCCAAAGGATTATCAATGCACATGCTCTACAGATAGAAACATTTAAAGAAAAACAGCAACTCAGCATGGGGCTCTCACTTACAATCCCAGAATTTTGGGAGGCTGAGGCAGGAGGACTGCTTGAGCCCAGGATTTGGAGACCAGCCTGGGTAACATAGTGGGACCCCATTTCTACAAAAAGTTTAAAGAAAAAGAAAAAAGAAAACAGCCTGAGTGACAGGTGAAACCATGTCTCAAAAAAAAATTTTTTAATAGTAAATAATAATAATGAAACATTCATCTAATCACTGAATAAACACTTATGAAAGCATTATTTTTAATATTTTAGATAAGGTTTGGGATACATATCTGCTTCCAAGCAGCTTTCAATCCAAGAAGTAATTTAAGACAGAAGTTAGAAGAATATGGTGATGCTACCCATATTCCCTTGTCTCCCCTTACCAGCTTCCTGCACACCAGCTACATGCACACTTGCAACCACCCCCAGCCTCTGTAGCTCCTTGTCCCAAAGCTGCCCTCAGACTGCCAAAACTGCTTTGCCTACACCCACAGAGATGAGAAAGTGCAGAAAGTTCATGTCACCTTCCTGATATCAGCCCATAGCTAATGACTAACAGGGGTAGGGAGGTACAAACACTCTATTCCCATGGCTTCCTAAGTGGGACTCTAAGGTGAGCCTCAGACTACCTGCAGAGAGCTACCCTGCAGGACTGAGTTACATTATACCCACCTCCTTCTGGGATTTTACAGGGTCTCTCACCATTGCTTGGCTTCCTGCCATTCCATATCTACTTACCAACTCTGGTATTGTCTTTTTCCTAGGAACACTTCCTAGTCTATCATTTTTACATGAATTATCTCAGGGTCAACTTCTGAAGGAAGATAGCTATTATTCGTATTAATTCTGTTATAACTAAGAGTGACTGAAAATAATACAAAGATGAGTGAGTCAGTTTCTCTAAAAACTTGTACAAAGTAGTAGAGGAGTTCAAAAAAGAAACTAATAGTATCAGGATCAGTGTAGGATTCCTAGAGCAAGTATAGCAAAGTTAAGGGAAATCAGGTTGCCAAAATCTCCAAAGGCCTTGAGTGTCAAGAAAATGGGCTTATAGCTTATTCAATAGAAAATGGGAAATTACTGAAAGGTTTTTAGTAGGGGGGACCATTTGTCATATGATTTTAAAAGTTCAGCTTAAATAATTTGGCAGAAATACTACTAAGTCCTAGAGCTTTTCTATTCTTTGCGGATGTACTAGTGGGACCTCTTCAAAACTGGCAGACATGCTGTGTTTTTCAGCTCTTTCTCTCCAAATCTGAATGCTGGTATGAAATATATTAAAGAAATAGGACCAATTACCCAGAATTCTGTCTATTTTAAAGTATGGGTACACTCTGAAAGTGAGCACGCACCCTCTGGCTCAGTCAAATCATCCCCAGTCATTAAATGGGCTGTGACAGTGTATTAGTCTGTTCTCACGCTGCCATAATGAACTGCCTGACATTGGGTAAATTGTAAAGAAAGGAGGTTTAATTGACTCACAGTTCTACAGGGCTGAGGAGACCTCAGTAAACTTACAATTGTGGTGGAAGAGGAAGCAAATATGTCCACATGGCAGCAGGAGAGAGAAATTCTAAGCAATGGGGGAAAAGTCCCTTATAAAACCATCAGTTCTTGTGAGAACTCACTCAGTATTAGGAGAACGGCATGAGGGTAACCATCTCCATGATCCCATTACCTCCTACTGGGTGTCTCCCATGACACATGGGAATTATGAGAACTACAATTAAGATGAGATTTGGGTCGGGACACAGCTAAATTATATCAGGTAGCATGCAAATATTCACACTTTAGAATCCTGCTATAGATGATCATGGTCTACAGATTCTTCATCCCTTCATCTTTGGTCTCTCATTAGTTGGTATGGCTATTTATCAATCCAAGCTCTAGGCTCCAGCACAGGCTTCTAAAGCATCTCTTGTCTTTCAGCCAAAAGGTAACAGTAAATTCATATGGTTTAATCACTATAGTGTCATACTCTTTGAGGAAGTATTTCCACTTTCATCTCTAACAGTGTCCACCTTTATGATGGCTATTTGATGAAGAATATCTTCAATTTAATTACTGGCTACAGATAGCATTCATTTCTCTAGGAGCTAGAATGTTGCTGCTTAATATATAAAAGTGCTCTTGTTTGAAATACTTGACATTTAAACCAGCAATTCTCACCCTGACTACACAGTGGATCCTAAGGAGAGGTTTAAAGACATAAGATTCTCAAGTTCCATCCCATCCCAATTACCCAGGCCATAATATTTTTTAAAGGTTCTTTAGGTAATTATAAACTGCATCCAGTATAAAGTCTCACCACTTCAGGCTTGTAAGTCTGGATTTGAGACACATCAATTTTAACATTAAAATGGGAAGTTTCAGGTAACATTTGGCCAACTGTTAAAAACAAAGATATATTTGTATCATTCTTATCTGTTTATGAGTTATTCTCACAAATGTAATCCTCATGAGACAAAGCTGGTATTATTTTAATCATTATTTAAAAAAGGAAACATATCCTTCAAACGTTATGTAATACACTCAAGTTCACACAATAATAAGCAGCAGAACCAAGACATCCATCTTCTATATCTTCTTTGTTTTTTCCCAAAGGTCTCAGAACACCAGTTTTCTAATTCCAAGCAGAAAGTTCCATCCATCAGGATAAAATGCCACTTGGTTTGATGAATCAAAATATAGCATCCTTCAGATCCCATTGCTGAAGAATACGATTATTTGTGTACATTACTTTTTTTCTGTTTGGCTGAAAGGTTTAGTATGAGCTAAGGAAAATGAAGCCATTACCACTATAAGAACTACTCCCTTTCCACCATCTTTCAGGATATTGGAGCTGCGTATATTCAGAATTACCCAAAGTCAGCTTGTGATAAAAATGGCCTCAAAAATGGCAAAATATGTTTCCTTTGGTACATCTTCATTAAAAATATACACTTCTTCACTATGGTGAATATGTATGTATTGATAGATGACACAGGCTGATTTAGTAAGAGATATAAGCACACTTGGAACTTATTAGCCTTTCAGCCAAGATATAAAATTCTGAAATAAAAATGTATTCCTAGTCAACAATTTTCCTCAGCTCCTAGCCATCTTACAAAGCAGGAACACGCCATAAGGACATGTTCATCCTTGTATCGCCATCTCTGGGCATTCACTGAATATTTTTTACTGAAAGAGACGCGCGTGTGTGTGTGCGTGTGTGTGTGTGTGTGTGTGTGTGTGTGTGGTGGGGGCAGCGGGTGGTAATAGAATGGAAATGCCTTTAAAAAAGATAATTCCAACACTACTCCTCATTAACGCCCTCATCAGGCAGCCTGGGTTTGAAGAATATTGAAATGACAGGAAGAAGAAGACCATGTGCAAATATTGCTTGCTACTTCTTTCTCTGAAGAATTTTACTATTCTCACATTCTCTATCAACCTAGTTTTACTTGATGCAATGTTGCTATAAAAATCATTTTTTCTTCCTATTAACATCCCACTTAGTTCATCACAACTGAGATAATATCACCTCTAAAATGCAAAGCATCGACCGCAAAGAATAAGAAGTCCAACCAACAGATGTTTACAAGTTAGACTAGCCAATTTCAAGAAACACCCACTGGGTAGAGATTTTAAATAAAACCATCCATAGCTATTTGCATCTCTCCTTTACTTGGCTCAATGTCCTGGTAAGATTAGAAGCAAGATTGGGGTTCACTTTGTAATAACTGAGGCAAAAGCACTACCTATATGGAGTGGCAGGAGGAGGGAAAATCCTTAGCCTATGAGGACTTGACTAAATAAGCAAGGAAAGCCATTCATTCAGGCCAGCTTCCCAACCTTTCCTACCACATCAAGGTGTACACACACCTAGAAATGACAGGGTTGAAAGCCTAATAACCCCTCAGCGTATACACACTGAGTGCTGCTCAAGTTTAACACTTTAATAGGGCAAAAATAATAGCTCCTGCATGGTTAGAAAAATAAGATGCATATAAAACATTCGTGTAAAAATGTAAGCTTCCGAAAGCATAGTTATAAAATTAGAATGGGTAGAATTCAAATAAAAGAGAGACTGGCATGAGTCAGAGAGACCTGGTAAAGTGTTCGCGTAAGAAAAATACAGAGTATTTAAAGAGGCTGGAAGAAAAAGAAGGGAAGTATTTTGTGTATATATTAGATGAATAATAGAAACCTGGATTTCCTACAACTTTTGTCCAGCTGGCATTTTCACTTGGAACGCTTTCTCATCACTGATCTTGGTCTCTTCTCTGTAACTACCAGAAGTATAAAGTATAGAGTCATCACTCAGTATCCATGGGAGATTAGTTCCAAGACCTGCTGTGTATACCAAAATCTATACACACTCATTCAAGTCCTACAGTCAGACCTATAAAACCCGCATATATAAAAGTCAGTCGTCCTTATCACATGGATTTCACATCCAGAAAATACTGTATTATCAGACCACATTTGGTTGAAAATATCTGCATATGAGTGGAACCACACAGTTCAAATTTCTGTTGTTCATGGGTCAACTGTATAATAAAAATCATAAAAATGAAGAAAACCCAAATTATGCAATTCACTTGAGATAACAGGATTTGGTGTAAGTATAAAAGGAAAACACATCACATAAGCAAAAATTGTTAAAACTCTACTTCTCATGTCACTTTTGTATTATTCTTTTTGATGACTGTACGTCTACTTATGAAATATTTGAAAGTTATTATCTTTTATGTATGTCAAAAGACTTGTGAGCTATTTGTATTCTATGCCTTTTTAAACTACTGCAGATGACTAAATTCTTCCTATTATTGAATTGTTCTATGTCATAGAAGATATCATATTTGATAGTATTTGTACTGTAATTCAGAAGCGTTGCAAGCTACCAGCAAATAGAGGTAC